CAAAACACCCTCTGTGGCTTATTCTCCCGCCTCTGTCCCTGCTCCTGCATGTGCGCGACGTGCGGTCCCGGGCTCCGTGGCAGGAATACCGGAGTGCCAGCGAGCATTGGCCCTTGTCGCCTGCCAAGAGCCTGCGTCACGAGGCAGATATTTAGGCACTGCTGAGTTTTGATGCTGCTCGGCTCCAGGAGCTCTCTGCAGCCGACTGCTCTAAGCAGAGTTTAAGAGCTACGCTCTAATGCAAAGGTGGTTGTGTGGGATATGAAAGCATTATACTAACAAATGATGGATGCATCGCCCCTATTTGCTTAAAAAAAAAAAAAAAGAATCTCCTCCCCCCCGCCGCCAGAAAAAATAAAGAGACGTTTAAAGTTTAGCTGAGAGTTTCAGCTGTTTCCTTAGGCAAAAGCATGGAAACCAGGTACCGAAAACAAAAGAAAAATGCACCCCGATGTCTTAATACTTGACGACAGAACCCATGTAGTGGAGAATAAGTGCCACCGACCAGAGGTTGCAGTGAAGCAAAGAGCAAAAAAATCCCCGGCGTGGTGACTGCGGGGGCTCGGCAGGAGCCCTTGGCTCCGCAGTTCCATGTGGGGAAGCTCCCTCGGGGCGGCCGGTGCCAGGACCGCTTCTCCGTTGCTCCTCGGTGCCTCCCTCGAACCCCCCCAAGCCAGCACACCCGGCGCGCTCCCGAGGAGCAGCATTTTCCAGGCAGCAGCAGGAGCACGCGGCGCCCGCCCGCGGGTGGGTGGGGTGCAGGGGACTATGAAAATTTCGAGGGGTGGCACGACATCCTGGCTTTCTAAATATAGCGGCCGCCAACCGCGGCTGCTCTCGCATGCGACTGGAGCGCTTGCAAAGGCCCCGAAGAAAAAATATGGCCCTGTTTGGTAGCGAAAAGTAAAAAAAAGAAAAAGAAAAGAGTAAAAAAAAAAAAAAAAAAACCAACACCGAAGGGCCAGCGGGCTGACTGCAGCTTGCAGCGCGCTTGTGCAGCTCTGTTTTCCAGGCAAGGCTCCAAGCGGAGCCCACGCGGAGCCGGCGCGGCACAGATGCCGATCACGTGAAGGCAGAGCTGGAGTGCGCGGGCGGCCGCTGGCTCCCTCTCTGCAGCGCCCGGCTCCCTCTCGCCCTCCTGATGGAGCCCGATTTCACCGAGGGGCCAGCAGGGAGGAAGGGACCCTTCTTGCGGCGCTCACTGCTCAGGGGGCTTGCAGGGAGCAGTGGCCACCTTGGTCGGGTCTAGGAGGTGACATTTGGGCGCTGTGCGATGCTCCGTGTCTCGGTTCCCTTTTCGTCGCCGTTATTTGTAACTCCCCTATTTGCATAGCACAACATCGGGACGCTTCAGGGCAGAGGAAAGTGGTAGTTGCTTCTTCTGCTTTTGAGAAAAGAAGGAACGCGTTTCTCCATGCGACAGCTTCACCGGTCACGCAGCACCAGCGGGGCCAGGTGTGAGACCAGGGGGGCTACAGCCCTGGGCACAGGAAAGGTTTACAGAACTGAGCTTAGCTGAGTCTGATGGTCTTTAAGCCACGCCATAAAATCCAGTGGAGAGCTATATGGCAGCATTAGACCCCACTGGAGAGTCCCGCTCGGCCTGTAGGAAGGATCCTTGCTGTTCAGTTCTTGAGTCCTCATTTCCACAAAGGGCCCTTTTAGCTGTGTAAAATGGCCGTAAAGTAGGTGTAAAAATGATTGATGCCCCTTTGCACTGTGAAAACAGTGTAGAGTGGCTGGGGTGCAAATGAGCATCACACCTAGTCTTTGAGAGTAATTACACAGGGGCCTTCATAACTCCTGTATGCCCAGAGTGGTTTAATCCTAACCAATTTTGTGCAATTTATCCAGAGAATGAATTTCCAAAAGAGTATGTATACATATATGTGTGTGTGTGTGTATGTGTGTGTGTATATATATATATATACACATATATGTTGTTTCCTTCGACATCTTCTTACTTTCTAGACTGTAAGTTCCAGCCTTTCTTGAAGAGCAGTCTGCATGAACTTTGCCCCCCAGAGAAAGATTGGTGCTATCTGAATACGCTGTGGTAGATGGAAGTTCTTCAATTAGAACTTTCCAAAATTCTCAATCCAAGCAAAACACACAGTAGGACGATACCCCGGAGAAAAACGTTTCCAAAAGCTACCATATCAGTTTCCTGTTTCCTCCTTGTTTTGATTTTGACACTCTGGAGACACATAGAGAGGAAATAGAGAAGTTATTCTTTGTTAGATCAAAATGGTCCATATTTGCTCTTAAGGCATTAAAATGTCACTGGAATACATGGCGACTATTGCTTTCTTCCAGAGCAGAGAGTCAAGCTGCAATGCACTGATTAGGGACCAAGCTTGGTGGCGGTGTTTAAAAGCAGTGGGTGTGCTGTTATTAAAACACACCCTTTTCTAAGCAGAGCAGGGTGTTTTATTAGTATCTTCCTTCTGTTGCCTGAAATCGTTGGCAGCAGCGCTGTGATCACCCTCGCGGTGTCTGCCGGGCTCCAGAGGCGTCCAAGGAGGTATGCCTTGTAATACGGATGAGCCTACGGAATCCCAGGGCCTGAGCAAAAGTGGGAGACTGGGAATGAAAACACGGTGGTGAGACAGAGGTCAGAGGATTAGGGATACAAAAGTTGGGCTGTGGTGGAAACGCAGCTCAGTCCGGCAGACCAGTGGCACCCACTGTCTGCAGCCGGCGCAGGACCTGCTGGCGAAGGGCACCAAGAGCAGCTGGTTTTGCGCTGGGCGAACCTCAGTTGCAGAGAGGAGAGCCTTCATTTTTGGCCAGGCAGAGCAGGTGCAGGAATGTAATTGGCTGAGGAAGGCATGAGCATGTTGAGTACCGATCCGAGGAACGTTTATCACTTGCATGCTGAGGGTGTTGCCCTACACTTCAACAGCTTTGTGGTGAGCACGGTGGACTCCTCTGAGCTCATATCTGTGTATCCGTCATGTTGCTTCTATGCTTATGCCTTGCATGGGAAGGGAGTCCATCCACAAATCCACAAGCAGCACTTCCAGCAAGCTCCTGCAATCACAGTGAGGGCCACAGAGCCCTCACCAAAGCCAACAGCCGAATCCCACCATGCTCGGCCTCCTAGCCAGGTCTCAGCTTGATCCGAGGGTGGCTGTGGGTCAGGTTGAGGCCGTCGTATGGGTAGCATGACGTGGACAAGCAAATGGCCATACTTGCAGATGTGACCCCTGCAGCCATAGCTACTAGAGTCTGTTATTTGGGAGCGCAACGTGGAAGCTGGTCGCAGAACCAGCTGGTAGCCTGACAAAGATCACCTTGCTAACTGAAGCTACATCTACTCTAGAAGCCCTTTCAGTGACACAAAAACATGAGCAAACAGACCTAGCCGTGCTCGAGGTGGATCACAAGAGGTTTTGCTATGGTGTGGTCTTCTGGTCCTGGGAGGGTGCTGGCTAGGAGTGGAAAGGCATGCAAACCCAGGATGGATGATACTTCTCACTTAGGATTAGGGCTATTTACGCAAGAGCCTTTCTACTGGAATAGCTTTTTGGCTTACTGGTGGCTACTCTTGCTACAGAAACAGAAAGTCTGTGTTTGCAGAGAGACCTTGTAGAGGTCTTATTCCCTTCCTCCTTGCTGGTGCGGCACCTTTCTCGTGTGTTTGCTGCCCAGCTCCACCTCGGGGACGCCCTCACCCAGGTGCAGGTCAGCAGCCCTTGGCCAGGCCGGCGCTGAGGGGCAGCGCAAGGGGCGGCTGCTCCGGGGCGGCTCTTGCATCTCAGGCAGCCCGAGGGAACAGGTCAGCCCGTTTGTCCCAGCATAGGGCTAATAACTCGCACAGCACTGCTAGAGCCGCACTTTTGGAGTGGAAAAAAAAAAAAGCGCTGTTTGGATGCAGTTTGTATTTCTGTGCTGCTTATTAAAAAATCATTATTCTCTTGCTCTCGTTATTATAAATAATGTCTTTGGGAGACTGGCAGTCTCTTCTTGCTTCCCTCCCTCCACCCCATTTTAAAACCACTTATTGTTGCAGGGATATATCTTTCAGGGCTGCTGGCCCAAATCCACTGCTGGTGTGTGAGGCTGATTGTCTTCAGCAGAGTTACACCAAAAATGCATTTGGCCTTTTGTGCTTTGAGCATAATTGGTGGAACTGGCTAGACGCCGGGTTTGGGAGCCTGCAATTCTAACAGTGTCAACACTGTTTTCAACGTGACCAGTGATTTAGGGCCCTCCGTTTTAGGAGCTCAGCTTGAGGTTTCTTGCATTGATCCTTTCTCACAAAGTGCTGAGCACTCCCTCTTCAGAAATTAGGCCCTTGTATGGGGTCTTAAGTGGGGCCCAACGAATGACTGTTAGTCAACATAGTAATTGGTTGTTAATTAGTAACTGGATTAGGTAACCTTCATCATTAGTCATGCTCAGAAATCTTATCTATATACCGCATATTTTATACTGCAGTCATCAGCTGGTTCACTTTTCCTGCTGGTCTGCCTTTGAAGAGGTCTTGACCTCCCTTGGCACATATCTGTGTGATAAATCCCCATCAAGATAGTGTAGATTATACCCAGAGAACCCAAGACATACCCAATCCAATATATTCCCTAAACATGACCAGAATAATTATAATTGAGCAGTTTGGACCAGATCCTACTCTGGTAGGAATCAGTAGAGCTTCTCTGAAGGCAAGGAGCAGATTCCCACCAGCGAAGGAAGGGGTCCCTAAGCCTTAATGGCTATGGCCCTGCAGACGAATTTGCAGCGAGTTTTAAGCTCTCAGTTTGTCTATGGCTATTAAAGGAGCTCTTTGGTGAATATTTGGTCAGCTGCATCTTTAGGGCCTTGCATGACCTGCAGGTAGTCTCACAAGGGGCCTTTCGTGATCTTAGCCACATGCATCGCTATTAAAAATGACCGCAAATATATATTCATTAAAAACGTGTGAATGCTTTTCCTTATCAGAAATCTTATAAACGCTCATTCATTGGTGGTGCCTGTCCTGACACCCTTCACCTCCCCAGCCCCAACCCTACACTTTGTGCTGCTGCCCTTGGGTGGCCGTTAATGGGTAGAAGCGGACGCCCACATAGAAAACCTGGTAGCGGTGCTTCCACATGACGAAGCACGCCGCGAGGCACACGATGGCTGCCAACGTGTTGAGGACCATCTGCAGGAGCAAGTAGAGGTGGAGGGTGCTGGTGACGCTGCTGCAGTCGGCCGCATCCTGGTAAACGAAGGTCCTGCCCAAGGGGTCCTCCGCGTCCACTTTGCACTGGCAGGACTCGAGGACGGTGTCGCAGATGAAGTGTGTCATCTGCAAGTATCGGTGCGCGGCAAAAGCCACCGCCAAAACGCACACCACCAGGCCTAGGGCGCTCAGCAGGACTAAATCCCCAGCGAGCCCAAGTTCAGCCGGTTGCACGCATCCAAGGACTGGCCTCTCTGCCTTGCATGCTTGATAGGAGCGCAGCCTTGCAATGTGAAGGCCCCGTGCGATCGCCGGGAAATCTCTGCCTCTGCAGCACAGAGCAGGTCCTCCAGCTAGTGCTGCAATCATCCGCTGCCATAAACCCGTGTGCTTGCAAACCAGGCGGGCCAGGGGCGGCTAATCCTCAGCCCGCAGCCAGCCAGCGCGCTCCCCGCGTGCTCCCACAAAATGGGAACGCAAGGCGGCTTGGGGAGGGCTGAATGTGCTCCTCAAACCCAGTACCTCAACCCTGGGGTGCTTCGGGCAGGTCTGGAGGCCTCGGGATGCCAGAGCATCCGCACTCGCCTTGTCTGTGGTAGCTGGAGCCGCAGTCGCCACACTGCATGCAGCTGTGGGTATTGAAGGCAAACTCTGTGTTTAGCCAAGAGGGCATTTTTGGTTCTGCTCAGCACGGACAAAACATTTATTTTGCTTGATGTCTTAGCTGCCAGACACACAGCGTGGCTGGTAATCAGTTATTTTAAACAGCAGCTTTTATCCTCTCTCTCTTTCTCTCTCATATTAACCTTGATACCACAAGTAAACTATCAAAGTAAAAGCATTTTTATGACTTTGAGATGCCAGGTTTGTATGTCTCAATAACACTCACAGTCTTGGTGTATTTGTCCACTATCTATGGTGTGAATCAATCTTCCCATTTCAGTTTCCAGTTTGGGAAAACAAAAAAAGAAAGTGGGCTTGAGGCTGTATATACATTTTCTTCCCCAGATAAGTGAATCTTTACAGCAAGGTCTTCATTTTCAAGTCTGAGCTACTGTTGAATTTAATGACTTCCCCTGCAGTCTTAAGCCATGGGAGCTTCAAAACGAGGGTGACTTTTATTAAATGCAATTACTTCACCCCTGCAGCTTTCTTGGTAAAGGTCCATGGCAAAGGTGGAATTAGAAAAAGGGGAAACCTACTAGTATAAAGAGCACAGAAAATGGAGGGCTACTGATTAATAGAAACCACCTAATAAAGATGCGGCAATTTGTAGCAGTTTAAAATATATTTTTTTTTACAAGGAAGATGGACAAACATGGGTGAGTGTTTCTTGGTGAGAACCAAACATTGTGACACCCAGCCAGGCTCTGGGTGTCCCCAGTATCCCTCTGGGTGCCCCCAGGATTCAGATCACTCCTAGAGATATTAAGTGGAGACTCCCCCACACATCTGGTTCTCCCTTAGCAGGTCTTGCATTTAGCTGCCAACCTGTAGCCAAAACATGGAAGGAACAGCCTGAACTCTTGCAGCCTCAGCAGCACTTGCAGTGTCTGGGGGGGTGAACAGAGGCCCCTGGGGACATGGGACAGTTCCCACGCAGCTTATGACCCTCCCCAGATGTTTGCAGAGGACTCCCTTGGCGAGCAGCTGAACATGAGCGCTCTGTTTCCAAATACTAAAGGTGAGGCAAGTGCAAATCCTGCCTGGGAAGAAGCACAGGGCAGCGAGGGCTGGATCCCATCAGAACATGCCAGACCTAGAGGCAACTTCAACATGGCAAATACAGCCGCATGGCTCTGCCCACCAACTAGTTTGCCACTAGAAAAAAAATAAGGGTTTTAACAGCTTCAGAGAGATGGGCATGGTGATGGCTACTTAAATAGAAGGGGAAAAAGGAAGTGGGATGAAGCAACATATGATGAGGTCCGAGAGCAGCAGCTTGTCCTCCTCAATCAGGACAGCGTGACATAGGGCAGGGTGACATGTTGAAGATCAGCAGATAGGACAGGAAGGGTGCAGAAGAATTTCCGATTTTTCTTTTTTTGCCAGTAGTCTTTTGAAAGACTCTTCCCGTTATAATGTGATCGGAGCCCTGGAGGAGAACACCCATGTCTACTTTGAGTGAAAGAGCTGTGTTTTCCTGCCTTTCCTTGCATGGGCAAAGGTGACGGGACAAGGAGCAAAATGCAACCAATGTGCAGAAACCATTGCTCTACATCTCCCTTTCTTTTTACGAGTGCAGGAGGAGCTTTATAGAGGACAAAAGACACATTGAGGCCCAATTTCTAAGAGAGGATGATAGCCCGCTTTGGAAAATCCGCTCCTTGCATTTGACTCCTTCTACTTTCTCCAGCTAATGTCTCTGCTTTTGGGCATTGTGTGTGTGGGTGGTTTTCCTGGTTATTACACACCTGCAAAATATCAAGAGCCCTCAAAATAATAGTAATAATAATAATAACAATAATAATAATGGAAAACCACCCAGCTAAATGATGGAGAGACATCCCCCAAAGGACAAGCACTGGGCCATGTCCCTCCTGGTCACCCACCAGCGCCCATGCAGCACAGTCTGGGGACCGTGGTGGGATGCGGTGGAGGTGGCTCTGTCTCTCCAGCTGTGCTCAGCAGGGAATTTCCTCCATGGTGAAATGCCCATGCCTGGGGCTTGCTAATGCTTTTCCCAGGTTTGCTGGCGCTGTGCTCTTTTTGAACGACCTGTGCCTGTACAGTCAGCCTTGTTATTTCCTAGTGAGCAGTAAAACAGCAGAGAAGATGCTGAGGAGACTCTTAAATTGCATAATACCCAGAGACAGGTAGAGCAAACTTGATTTAAACTTGATGTCAGTGGATTCTCTCTATCCTGAACTGCCACTTACCCAGCTCTTTGTCTCTGCTTAATCAGTAACCCCCAATCTTTCACTCGGCACTCCCCAGATTATCCTAGTTCCATGGACCTGAATAACTACGAGAGGCTTAAAATATGGCAAATAAAAAGCTATCTTGCTCTATTTTTGAATATTTCAAATATTTATTATTATTCCCCTCTGTAGGCTGCAGTTTCTTCCTTATGTGACTGGAAAACACCATAGAAGAACACTGTTCTTGCATTTCAGGTACACTCTCACTCCTTTTCATCTGGTCTTGAAAAATAACCCCACTATCACCTTTTCTGATTGTGTTTAATGGCGTGAGAGGAAAAAGAAGAATAAAAGCAAATGTCTAGGTACCTTTATTGTGAACTGCATACATGTCTTCTCATCAGGTTGGTATGAAATGCAGAGCATAACAAATCCGACTAAGGATACCACGCAAACCTGCAAGGAAGGAGATGCAAAATATATCAAAGTTGAAAAATAAAAAAGGTTTTCAAACCAAAACTCCCTTCTATGTTAGCAGCATCGCAACCCAACAAGTATTCAAGCCAAAGCATGTTCACAGCTGCATGGTGAACTTCATCCTTTTGGATGCACTTGTGAGGAGGGATGAGCTCTCACCAGGACATCAGGGCAGACCCAAAGGCCACAGCTGCATGCCCTATCCCCATGTCCCTGGTTTGGAGACCAAGAAGATGGGGGGCTCCACATGAGCCTCTGCTGGTGGCCTCAACATGCAGTTTGGGAACCACCACACTGAGCAGTCCTCAGGAGACCTTAACACAACCCTTGAGTGCAGCCCTTGAAGGTCTTGTGAACTTCATTCGCTTTGGTGAGTTTTACAGGACGCTATTGGACGTGGATGGGAAAGTGCACGCAGACAGTCACGGAGGAATCCATTCCTCTGGCAGTTTTACCAATTAAATACCAGGCTTCATATCGACGTTGCGAGCTGCTAGACGGTAGCCCTGGGAAAGGCGGAGTGTGCTGCAAAGCATGGCCAGTCATGCCTCTTAAGAACCCGTGTGATTGATAACACTTTTCCTCACACAGCTTTATTCATGTCGCTTCGGTAGGACGCACATAGGAAGTATTGCCTGAGAACATTTCTAAAGAAAGCGTCAGTATTATTTACTCCTTTCCATGTCATGCGTATTTATATTCTGGTCCTATGACTTGCACACGGTCTCCAATTTATTTGTTTTCTTCTTTTTATTGTTGACAGCAGTAGTTGACAGGGCTGTCGGGGCGGGGGGGAAACAGCCTTTCTTGCCAAAGGTCCTTCAGGACTGTTTTTCCCCCTTCTTTGGTGCATCTGTGTGACTTAAACATTTCACTTCACAAGGATTAATTGCCTGCGTCCTTGGTCCCTGGTACCACGTATTAATCTTTTAATTCAATTAGCATCCTCATGAAGCTTCAATCTTAAGGACATCATATCTTTAGTAATGCCCAAATGATAAACTTCCCCAACTACGACAGTTGTGGCTGATGGGCCACTGCAAACAACTTGGGCCAACACCGCCACTGGCTTTCCATGCGCTGGAATCAGGCCCTGCGCTCCCGAAAGGTTAGGAAAGAGCATCATGGCCAAGGCTCTCCATCCCACCTGTGCTGTTCCTCCTGAGATTTAAAGAACATGCTCAGGGATATTCGGAGAGGCATTATATTATGTAGGTATTTATGGAAGATTACATGAGGCTGGGATTCAAGCAAGGCTCCAGCAGAACATTTCAGAAGGTTTAACCACCAGCTTTATAGGAATAGCCCAATGCTTTTTTTCTAAACCAGAGATGTGAAGGAAAAAGTGCCAAGTGTATTTCTGTGAGTGACAGTAAAAAGCAACACTGCTGAGGCCTCTGACCCATATATGTTGTACATTTCTGTTCTGTAAAGGTAAATTCCCTCACTGGAGCGAACTGAAGTAGGGAACATTTATACAGAAAACAGCTTGTGTGTTTCTATTTTATACATTATTAATAGATCGCTTTTGATATACGCCTGTGAAGTGTAATGGAATGACTATAAAAATCCTTTGGTAAATATTCGTTCCGACTAACGCAGCTGCGTTATAGCAGAGGGCTACAGCCGCGACTTGCTCTGATGCATTTACTGCATTAGGGACGCGGCCGCCGCTGCCGGCGAAGCCGCGCTCCGTACCGCTGCGCACCGGTGCTTCAGTCGCCTTCGCGATAGCGTGACGCGCCAGCATCCTCTGCCTTATTGACTGAGCATCCGACGTGAAACGCAGCTCAACCACCCTAGCGCTCCCTTGCCTTCCGTCAACGCGAGTTTGTTATACAAATAAAATAGATTCAGTACGAGCTGCTGAAGAACGGTTAATTAGATCAGCTCCTACAGACCTTATCTGCAAATCTAGAAAGGGACATTTTTGATGCCGGGGATGTTTCAATTCAAGTTCGCTTCGAAATTGCCCTGGCAGGCTCACGCACCCTTTGCTGAGAAGGTGGTGACATGAAAGGTTATCCAGGGAAAGAATTTAAATTTAGAAAAGTCCCATCTAGAAAAAGACCTGAACGTGATACAGATGCATTTAGGAAGGGCACAGATTTAATTTTGCTTACTGCACGCCCTGTGAAATCCACCCAGTTTGCAAGCTGGTGAAACCTGCCACTTGCAAGAGCTAGCTGAAAAAATCCAAGTTTATTTTCTTGAAAAGTCTGAACATGATTTCTTTTTGGTGGGAAGCAGGAGACCACCTTCCATTATGCTGGAAGATCCGAGGCCTATAGAGTGACCCCCAGAATTAGCTTCATGTTAAAACACAGCAAAAACAGCCAAAACAGGAGTTAAACACCAGTTCTGGAAATAACTGCAAGCGAGAAAAATAGCTCACAGTCTTCAGAAGGAGAAAAGCAGCTGTGACAAAGCGGTGCCGCAGGAGCTGAGCCTGGTTTGTAGGGAAGCTCATTACACCCATGTGCCTGGCTGCACTGGGGCTAGGCACAAGGTGTGTGAGAGATACGGGACACAATGAATATGGTTATGCAATATCCATAACTGGGGGAAACACGAACATGTAGGGCATACGCTTCCGCTGCGGTTTGCATTCATTAGCTTTGCACACTGACATGCTAATGTGGTTTGCTCTGTTTCGACAGCTTCCAAAACCACAGATTGCTCTAATCTGTCTCTATCTCTCCCTTGTACGCTTGTCAGACTGTTTTGTTGTTGTCGCTACTATTTTAGGCCAAGCGTTACTCTAAAATAGGTGGCTTTCTCCAGCAAAATGCTGCTTCCTCTGAGAATGTCCTAGGCATCTTGGAGACCTTGGTCATTGAGGCTAGTAAAGTAGGAGAGCTACAAACCTCCACAAAGAGGTTAATGAAGGAGAGAAAATCTTGTTCAAAGGGCACCTTGGGCCTAGGCCATGCTACAAGACAAGCTTTGCAGTGCTCACACACGGGCGTAACGTAACTCGTACGCTTTTTACCTAGGGGCTGGTTAGCAAGAACCTCCTGCAAGAGCCTTTGCAGGTCAAAAAGTGAAGTCCAAGAAAGAAACTGCCTCTCAAATGCATTCAGCATAATGCCACACAGCACTGCCGGGACCAAGGGTGCAATGGGCAGGCTGTTCCTGATTAAGTAGGAAGGTAAACTCAAAAGGAAAACCCAACTCTAACCAGTACTAGGAAGAAATTTCCTTGATGGGCTAGTTATTTTATAGTTTCTCACTTCAGGTCTCTATGGATCTGTCTGAGGGATAAGGATAAAGAAACAATCTCTACTAGGTCTCTGAAGTCTCTGGCTTATCATCAGAGGCGATGCGTAGCTTGAAGGATCACTGGCCTTATCAGATATGGCAAAGACTTAGTTCCCATCCTCGAGCCCAAGGAAACCTCAGAGTGTATCAGTCCTGGGGGACATAGACATAGATGCAAGAAGGAAAACGTTCCTGTTGGCCTTTCTCTTATGAAAGACGATCACCTCTGATGGCAGACAGCGGTACGCAGTATTACAGCCAGCGACACTGCTGCTCATTCACTTTATGAGCTTTGAGGAGAATATGACCAAAGCAGGTTGCTTTTGCTACAGGCTGCTTTGACCACTAGCTTTCATCAGCCTCAGGCCTCACTCACACAGATAAAAGAAATCAAATTGCCCCAAAGAGATGCTACTCCTTAACGGGATATTCCCTCTCACAGATTTCTCATTAGATTGAAGGACACCCTTATTGCATATAAGTTACTCTCAGAAATAATATTTTTCCCAGATAACACATGACGTGGAAAGCATAGCATGGCTAAAACCGAGGCTTGCAGAAGCAGTGTGCCCATGGCCATGAAGCTATGGAAAAGCCATCATCCCTACAGGCTCAGAAGGTGACCTGGGCTGAGGAAACCTGCCCAGACAACGTCCCCTTCCAAGCTTCAGCTAGACTTTTTGCATGGGCATAACCTTGTCAGGATGCCTGGCTGACTCCCTCCCCGCTGCTGAGGCTGCGGCTGCTCTGGTGCGAAAACACGGAGGGGTCCCATGCTAGATCTGAGCTTGAGTAGTTATCACGTGGACTTTTGGAGCAGAGCTACCTGCTCACATCATTGTGAAAGGCGAAATTCCAACATTTTTTCCTGTCAAGGTTTTCCATTTATACCTGGTCACAAAAAACAAATTCAACCAACCAAACAAAAAAGTGTGAATTTCAGTAAATCAGACATGAATGTAGAGTTACTCTTAGAAAATAATGAGATTTAGTGGCAGCAAGCTCTGGTGCTGGCTTCAGACCCAGCTATAATGAAGCCCTGGAAACCCCAGAGCGTATTGCACCTCAGTATGCACCACCCAGGTTTCATATAGTTTGGAGACGGTCCAATTAAATACCTAAACTTGGAGGCTCTTTTTTAGGGCAGTCATCCCCCAAAGCTTTTGATGTTTGCCCGTGGCTAGTTGAAGCTAGCCTGTATAAAAAATGCATGCCCACACAACCGCAATTTCCGTTAGCCACTTTGATGGTGCCAGTTCTTAATGGCCACCTTTTATTAAAAAGTGAAATTGGCCTCCCTAATAACAGGCGCAAGTTAGAAACCCAGCGAGCTGGTGCAGGAGGTGAACCTTGCCTGAAAGCCACCTCCATAATTGCTGCAGGAAGAGGAGTCAAAAGCAGTAGGAAAGAACAGCAGCAAGGGGCCAGGATGAGCAAGAAGGTGTGTCTCTCCTTCCAGGCTTTGAAAGAGAACACATTTCAGGGGCTTTACACAGTCAGTCGGCCCCCATATGTGTATTGGTATGGAATGGGCTCCATTGGCTCCTGCTTGAGCCAGGGACACTTCTCAATTATGGATCCCGCATTGGTGGGGGATCATCCGGGGCCGCACGCGCCTCCTGCACTCAATGTGCCGACATTGTTTACATTGACCGGCTTGGTTACAGGTACAGCAAATCCCTGAGGGGCCAGAGGTGCATGGGGCTCACCAATGCCAGCTAATCACCGGGATGCATTTAATGCACCTGCAACCAGCCAGCGGCGACAAACAGCTCGTGCATCCAAGCAACAGGCTGCCAGGAGAAGCAAAAAAAATCCCAAAGGAGTTTGGGAGGCTAAAAACGCATGACAGTGCATCTAATCTTTCAACGCAACTCCTTCTTTTCCTTTTTTTTCTTTTTTTTTTGGTAGTTTTTGAGACAAAGGCACAACAACATCAATGAGAAATGGATCTGCATTTGTTGCCCTGGCCCACTTGGTTAACGGATTAAAGGGAATAGGTTATTCACACTGAAGCAGAAGTGGTAAATCACTTGGCATCCTTGGTTTCTGTCCAGAGAAACCTTTCCTTTGGTTTCTGACTAATGCCCCACGGATTTCAGGCGAAATTCGCCCGAAACGAGGAGGTTTCAGCCTCGGTGTTTCACAGGGAGATGCCTGCGACGCAGCCGGCACCGGGCAGCCCCGGCTGTGGCCTTCACCAGCCCCAGCTCGGCAGCTGAATCACTGCGACACAGAGCAGCATGGGGTCCTTTCTGGGGACGTTTTGCTCTGGGTGCTTCTCTAGTAGGAAAAAAGCATTTTTGTTGGTGCTAGATGCCGTTCACATAGCTCACTCCATGCCTCTGTAGGATAACCCATATAATCATATACACACATATATATATACACATGCATACATACGTATACATATATGTTTTTTTTTTTTTTTTTTGCAGTGTTACACGGTGCTGCAAAGCAAAAGCTGGCGCCTCCCGAGGGCGTTTTGTCACAGGCGCATGGGGACAGGCATGAGGGCCCGAAGTTAGAGCCTGGCACAGGGCATGCAGGCGGGTTAGTCCAGAGCAGCGTCATGCAGCGAGGCCAAGGCCTTTTTTTATTATTTCTTTTTGCTTTTTCTTTTCTAATGCTTACACAGATCCCAGCCCAGTGCGGCGTGTCTCTGAGCAGCACGGAGGAGCTGACGGCGGCGGCCAGGAAGCCCAGCGCAGCCACGGCGCTGCCCAGCGCCAGCTGCAGCAGCGCCGGCAGCCGGGGGGAGGGGGAGG